GATCCTTGTTCTCCTAGCCGTGGTTGTCTACCTCTTTATAATTGACTAACAGAAATCCAAAATCCACTAAAGGTGAGGAAAGAAAAAATTGGCAAAGGTTTGATGAAACAAATCTAAAAATCTCCTTGTAATTGATTTTTCTAAGTTAACTCATCAATATTATCGAATGGGGAACTTTATCAAATCTACTTATCTTGCTTGATTCACTGTTTAATTCATTTTTAGCAACTACTATTCGATAAGAAAGTTGTTAGTTAAAAAAAAATTGCTAATTTAACAACTAATAACAGCTACATAAATCAAATATTCTGCCATCAAATGACTTTTGATAGTAGGAATTTTTCTATCCTTGATCAATTCCTCAACTACTCAGGTCATTGTAGCACTTGAAGTATCAATCCAAATGGAGAGATTCTAGACACTAAGACTATGAGGATCAATTCTGAATCCAAGTCTAACTAAACAGATGAGTTGGTAACCAAGATTATCTAAAAGCATATAATAAAACAAGCAAGAACAAACAGTAATTAAGAATTAAAAAAGCAAGAGAAACTAAACAAATACTCAAATTCAAATAAAGTGAAAGCTAAACCTCTAGATGTGATCATTGATCAGGGTGCTTTAGATGTGAATTCATGATGATAAGCAAACAATGCAACACTTGCAAATCTTTAGTCTAGACTTCCAATTCAGATTAATTCATTCTCATGACAGAAATCCCTTTGTTAATTACCAATTCAAGACTAATTCCCATTAGATGAATAAACAATCAACAAGCATAAGGGTCCAAGTCTAAAATGACCAGACAGCCTCTTTGTGCATCAAAATAAGAGCTAAGAAAGGCTGAATCTTATACAGAAAGATAAAGCAAGCATCACATGATCTCAAATTCCAATTAACTTAGAACTCTAATCTAGATTAATCCTCTCATGAAGGCACTAACCTCTACACTAATCCATTTTCAAACCAAATCATCATTTGTGAAATATGAATCATTGAGCATTAAGAAACAGTTCTAATATGTCATTCATGCATTTAACAATCATTCCCATGATGAAAAAGGCATAAACCCTTAAGTTAGCTCATTCAGGCATTTCATCAAACACCTTGTGGGTGGAGAAAGCCTAAGTTCTAGATCAAGCTTATAATGAGAGATCTAGCATTAGGATCAGCTAACTAAGGAAAGGAGAAGAGAATCTAAGCTTAAACAAACATTAATCTACATCTAAGCACCCTAATCTACACACCTAGAAGCTTAAAAGATGACTACTCACTAATTATGAAGAACACATCTAATCTTTTGCAAGAGATGATGTTAATCATGATTAGAAGCAGAAATGAGATGATGAGATGATAAGAAACAGCTTTGGAATGATCAAATCCCTTCAGATATCTCTTAACAAACTCGTTTTTTTAACAAAAGGGGAAAGAGAAAAAGAGAAAACAAAGCTTAAGTCTTGGAAAAAACCCTAAAAAGCATATATAGTGTCTCTTGCGGACCGGGTCAGCCCAGGACAAACTGGGTCCTGACCCGGCTTTGATGGATAGTGGTGTGGTTTGCCACGGTCAGATGATGCTTGGACAGACCGTGGCAAACTGACCGTGGCAAACTGATAGTGTCAAAGTTCTTGGACAGATTCTTCATGATCAAGGTTGCCATGGCTTGATTTACACCATGTCTAGTGGCCGTGTCTCTTCTTTTCTGGGTTTGGGTGATGAACTTCTTGGATTGCCACAGTCTAGTAGCTCTTGGTCAAGCCCCGTGGTAAGTGGTCGTGTCAAACGCCGAAGGTGTGTAAAAGTTGCCACGGTCAAGTCCTAGACCGTGGCATTGAAACCGTGTCAAGTGCCGAATGCTTGTAAAGTTCTTCCCGGCCAAATGTTACTTTGCCACGGTCAAGTGTAGACCGTGGCATTCAGATCGTGTCAAACGTCGAAGGATTGCAAATAAATGCCGCGGCCAAGTGTGGACCGTGGCATTCCATCGCGGCATGTTTCACTTAGCTCGCATCATTCAGGGCTGTTTGGACCACTTCGCATTCCGGAGAGTGTAACTTCTAAGATACTTGTCCGAATTGTGTGCTTCCACTTTCAAAGGACAGAGGACTCATATAAATTCAACTTTGGTGAAGGAAGCTGCGGTGCTTGGGAAGTGGAAGGCTTCCTGGAGGGCTCATCTTCGCAGTGCATTTACACGATCAGAGAGAGGCGTCTAGACATGTGTCCATTCCGGAGACCGTATCTTCTTGCTCATAGCTCCGAATTGAATTATCTTGGAAGTTCTGGAAAAAGGACTCAAATATCTCAGATTCTCATGAAGGTCTCGTAATCTGAATCGGTCTGGAAGTGCACCGTCCATCGCAATCTTCGGAGCTCATCGGTTTGGTCCAAAACGGCAGCGAGACAGGAGTTTCTTCTGACGAACTTCACTTTCTACTCACGCGTCCGAATTCCATGATTCCACTTGCTCTGGAACCGCGATCCAATTCTCTCTAACGTTGATGAAGCATCCGACAGATGAATCGGACCGGAAGGTTCCTCGGACAGGCGATCATTCAGGAGTATCGGATTGCTCCCGAATGGATGCGAGAGAGGTCTGTCTTCCGGTGACCTTATCTTTCAGCTCAGTGCTCGAAAAACCCTGATTCAACCTGTCCTGGGTTCTTGACTCAATTATCTCCAACTTTGCTGAAGACCCTGTATGCTGAATCGGCCGGCAAGATCTTCCGGTGACGCGATTTCGGAAATGTGTCTGCACCCGAGATTTTTGGTCGAGAGACTTGACCGCGGTACGTGTTTTTGGCCGAGAAAGCTACCCGCGGGAAAGATTTTGGCCGAGAATCTTCGGCCATCAGTACATCATTTTGCCGAGAAACCCAAAATTGCTCCTTTTCACCATTTTTGATAAGTTCAACTCCATTTCTTCATCTGAATCACATCCTCCACTCCAAATAAACTCCAAAAGCACCTGTTTAACACTCCAAAACATGCAAAACTCTCTTGGACCTAATGCAATCTCCTAAGTCCTAAAACAAATCCTAAGGACCTAAAATGCATGAAATAAAACATGATTTGAAATGAAATATGCAACCTAAATGATGCAAATTATGAACATATCAACTTTAAATCTGTCAGTACTTGAATTATTTTCTAAGTTAACACCACATAACAATCGAATTTCTTCTAATCAAATCTACTGATGATGCTTTCTCTGATGTTTTGGTACATTATTTACCACTACAACTTGATAAAACACATGTTAGATAAATTAAAATTGTTTATTTAACAGCTATTTCACAAATCTTTAACGACAAAGTTAATAAATATTTCGTCCCAAAACTGTCACTACGTGAAAGGCTAGTCTAGTAAAATATAAGTCTGTTACGTCGCTCTCAAAAAAAATTTATCACCATTACATATAAAACAACAAATCTCCGACCATAGACGTATATATTTGGCACCACTATCATATAAGTCTGCCACCACTAAAGTGTTAGTTTAATAATTATAATAAATAACTAACTCTATCATAACGGGATATTAAAACTGTCATCCTATTACAAATCTGTCAGCCTAAAACAATATCTGTCCCTTCATCAAATATATCTGTCACCACTAAACAGGAACTCTAGTAATTATTACGTCTTTCATAACTCTGTCATCTCTTGTCCCAAAATCTGTTGTCCCGCAATGATTCTATCACTTCGTATATATAAATCTACCATAGATTTTAATAAATCTGTCGCACAGTCTCAAATCTGTCATCATATATCTAAAATCTGACTAACTAAGTTTGTCAAAAAAAAGTCTGCCACATAAATCTATCGTTCGAACAAAGTCTATCAATATATCGACTGAAAAGTCTGTCACACGTAAACAAATATGTCGTAGTCAAAAATCTGTCATCAATAGCGCGACAGATTTAGTATATCGACCTATAAATCTACCATGGCACAAATGGTAATTATACGCTGGTCGAATCGTAAATAAACTCAACAAATGCCTATGTGGCACCAAAATAGTAATGACATTTTGGTTATTACGTTTTTCCTACCAAAGACTTTTAGGGTTAGAATTGGGGTTTTTTTTTAGTTACTCTAGTCGTATCACATCTTGTAGACCCAAAATAATAATTATAGCCCGATTTTGAGTTGTTTCAGCAACTCACCGTATTTTTTTATTGTCTTCCATCTTTATCTCTCATTCTTCTCTCACGTCTTCTTTTTAGTTTTCTTTCATTTCATTTTCCTTTTTTTTTTCATTCTATATATTTTTGCTTACTTCTTTTTCTTTAAGTTTTTTTTTTACATCTTCTTCTTGTTCACTGTTTTCCACATCTTTTTCATATTCTACTTCTTCGTCTTCTTCTTCATCATCTTCGTCTTCTTCGTTCATTCCGACTTCATATTCTTTCTTATTTTCTTTCGTCTTTCATATCAATCAAATATATATACTTGAAAACTTTAAAACTCTCTCTCTCCCCCTCCATGTGTCCCTCCCTATCATTCTCTCTCCACTACAAGAAAAATGTACATTGTTAGCTCACGATTAGCGCTATCATATCGATTTGATAGCGTTTCGATGAACGCTGTGATCTCCAGAGCTATAATAGGGTGACCCCTATACAATAGCGTTTTTGGATTGTGCTATAATATGTAATTCTATTATAGCATTGAAATTATGATGTTATTGATGATATAGTAGCTCATTTTAGACGCTGTTCGATGTCGTCTTGTAGTACTATTTGCATGCTATAATATGGATTTTTGTAGCTCTGTTTTGTTGCTATAGACTAATCTCCTGTAGCTCTTTTTGTGGCTACGGTATATCGTGTTGTAGCTCTTTTTCTGGGCTATAGTATAATGTTTTATAATACTTTTTCCGGGCTATTGTATAACATGTTCTATTTTTTTTTTTTTGATTACGACCTGTAGTTTTGCAAAATTATTTTCAAACCGAGAGAAACCTGTTTTTCAAAACTATATGAAATGAAACAAGCGTTTGCATTTAAAACACTCTTATTTTTATTAAACATCCAAACATGTCTTACACAAAACATCACAAGGACAAACATCATATTAAAAACAAGTCTTACAAAACATCAAGTCTTAAACATCATACCAAATGTCTTACAAAACGTGGTCTTAACATCATGGCTGCTTGAAGTGCTGAAGCAATTCTTTGCGTGAGAAGTGCTTGCCTAGCCTGGGAGAGAATCAATGCAATAAATTGCAGTTCCAAGCAACAAGCAATTGCAGTTCCAAACACACACAGTAACTGCAACAAACCAAAACCATATTGATGTATTGAGAATCGGTGCTTACGTAATTCTCCAAAGTCATCAAGCAAAGGCATAATTTCAGAGTTGCACCAAAATCCAAATGAATAAATTACCTCAAAAAGATTTGATCATCTTGCAACCGGTTTTTGCAGCAGTTGTTGCCCTCTTCTGTTTTTGTCCAATATAAAACTCTACCAGATTTGATCTTGTATCCAAAACACGCTCCAATTGTTCTAGAGAAATGTTTATTATAACCAAAACCTGTTTTTGATGAACTGTGCAAATAATAATCGACCTAAGAGTGTTAAACGAAGTATTATTCATGTAAAGGACCAAGATATCAAACCTGTAATGATGAGATGTAACTGAAACTGATTCAAGTCTCTCGTTTTGCTTAAACGTGGTCAAAGTATTGGAACCATTCTTCTTTTCTGCAAAAAAAAATTCAGAAAATTAATAAACTCTCAAGAACAGAGAGAAGGAATAAGAACTAAAACCAAAAGCTAATGAGATTAAGGAGAAGAAGAAACGTCAACTCTTTGCAGTCTCAAAAGCATCTTCACCAGATCAACTAATCCAATACATAAGCAAAATCAGAATCTAACTGAACACATAAGAAGACCGATCTCTAACAAAATTGTTAAAGTGACCTGCATCTCATGGAAACAAAAGTAATAAGCATCTACACTTCTGAAAACAAACAAACAAAATGCAACTCTTTGAAAAAATCAAAACTTACTTCATTGATACAAGTGAACAAATCAGAAAACTAGATACTTCATTAACTTGTTGCCATGGATGATATATTTCTGGTATCTCTTTACTTACTGGAGAATAGTTTGTGCAGCTCTTAACGCTGCCTGTTACACCTGAATGGGCTCAGCGATACTTATGATCAACTTTAAGGTTGAGGCCTGTGCTTACCTACAACAAAGAAATACCGGTGTTACTATTTCAGCTTTAGAGAGTCTTTCGGAAGAGTTTATTTCACCAAGTATATAACACAACAGAACACTAACTCACCTTATGGTAATCTCCTACGGGAGATGTATAAATGAAGAACGTGTACTAATGTGCTGGAGCTGTTCCAAGGATAGCGCCATTCCCTATTAGCCGAGGCCTTGTATACAAAACTCCTTTACCCGGAGGAGGAGCCTAAAACACCAAAAAAAAAAAAAAACACAAAACCCATTAGGAGCTTCTAGAGATGAGAGCAAACTATGATCAAGAATCATATCGATTGGAATAGAGAGACACATTGGTGCATAGTCCATACCCATTTCTTGTTGGCACGTACAGTTTGCTTAACTGCTTCGATGAATTGCTCCACAAACGATGGTGTCATACAAAGCCTATCAGCACCTGTTTGCATATGAAGAGCGTTTTCGTCAGGCCGGAACAACCTAACCCGGTCGTCTTCTGTCCTGTAAGCTTTGAGATCTTCAAATAGTCCCTACAAAGCCAAACCAATATCAAAAACGTTTTTCTATCAAACCCTCATATATGTGTATAAACACTAAATCTCTAAGCTTTTGCTCGCTTATACACTAAAATCAAATAGGTTTAAACAATCTATGTATCACTAGTTTTGAATCTAGAGATTAAAAGCTTCTAACTAATGAATCCTGCTGTAATTAAACCCAAAACGTCCTATAATGTTGTCGCAAGGGACTTCGAAGGAGTCGATGTTGAGTAAATTATTCTCTGCAAGCTACTAAAAAGATCTGTTAGGCGATCATTTAAGAATAAATCTCGCACCTGAATCAACTGCCAACGCTTTGTGTTCAACATCAACAAAGAAAAATGAAAATAATGCATATTATTAGGTTATTAGCGAGAAATACAACAACTGGCCATCATCATGAAGGTTTTAAGCATTTGCCTTATGTTGAATATTGGGTGGCCCGTCTCGAAATCTTCGATATAAGTTTCGGTTTGAATAATTTAATAATCCCAATGCAAAACCCTACAAAGTGTTGAGAACCATACCTCCTGAACAGGATCGAAGAAAGCTCATGAGAGGAAACTCGTCATCGCCGTCCAGGAACCCTAACCCAAAATCTACAGTTAACCCTAATCAGCTCTTGAGAATAGGAGAGGTGAAAAAGGGGGAGAGTTGTTTCAATACCATTTATGGAGGATGGAGGTGGAAGAGGCGGCAGCGAATTGAGAGAGGTGGGTTCAATCGGAGATGAGTTAGGGTTTGGGTTAGCTGGGTCGGGGGAACGGGAGGTGGAGAAGGAGGCTGAGAAGGAGGCTGAGAGGGAGTAGGATGTGGTGAGATGGTTCAGCCATAACGGAGGAGAGGGTGGAGGAGGAAATCGGAGACGGAGGGACAACGAGCTGCTTTCTCGAAAGAATTTTTTTTTCCAAAGAACTTGTTTTTGTTCTTCTCCAAACAATATAAAAAGAAAAGTCACAATTGGGGTACTTAGTATTTTTTTCTCTTTTTGCCTAAGTATTGGCGCTCATCACAGAATTTAGGTTCCAAATGTTAATTTTTTTGTTCCCGCTTAGTGAAATTTCAGCCTAACGTTTTTTAAATGCTATAATAGAATATCCAAATCCGAAATATCCTCTTTAATAGCAGTTATAGAAATCATGCTATGTTAATGTGCTATCAATATTTGTTTTTCTTGTAGTGCTCCCTCCCTCTCTCTCTCTTTCAATATTTTCTCTCATTCTCTTCATTTCCCCCTTCGTACTAAATTGTACATATAATACGATTTAGATAACTACATTCAAAGTTAGAAGAGTTTCAAATATAAAAAACAGGAACACATAAAATATAAACTAACATAGATTTGATATCATGTACCTATAAGGTTTACTCTCTACCATTTCTCTTTCTCTCTTTCTCTCTCTCTCTCTCTCTCTCTCTCTCTCTCTCTCTCTCTCTATTTTTCTCTCCCTCACACACTCTGTTTCTCCATCTACATGTCCATGAAAGCTTTAACTTCATTTCTCTCTATTGCCCTCTTTTTCCAAATTCGTCATCCACTTCTCCTTCTTATTCTTCAATATTTTCGTCTTGTCATAAATTTTATTATTATGATTTTTCCTTTTCCTTTTTTTTAGTCTTCTTCTTTTTCTTTTTCATCGACATTAATTTTCTTATTCCTTATCTTTTCTTTCCTCTTCTTCATCGTCTACAACTTCTATTTCATTTCTCTCTTCTGATTTGTCTTCTTCTTCCTCCTCCTCTTTTGTTTTGTTCTACTCTTCTTCCTATTTTTTTTGATCTTTTGGTTTAGTTCTTCTTCCTATTTTTCTTATTCTCTTTTTTGGTTTTTATTCATCTTCTTCTTCAGTTTCCAATTTTAAGGCTTTTGTCTTCTTTTTCTGCCCCAAATTCTTCATCTTATTTTTCCTCATATTTTCCTTCTTCTTCTTCTTCATCGTCTTTGAGTTGTATTTTTTGTTCTTCTTCCTCTTATATATCTTTCGATTTTCTTATTCCTCACATTTTTCTTTCATCTTCATCTGCTTTGTATTCTCTCAGTTCTTCTTCTTTTTCAATTTTTATTACCCTTCTTTATTCTCTACTTCTTATTCCTCTTTGGTCTTCATCAAACTCTTCTTCTTCTGGGTTTTCTTGATTTCTTTCTCATCTTCACCTACTTCATATTCCCATTTCTTATTATTTTACTTTGTTTTCTTCATCTTTCATTTTTTTCTTCCAGTTTTCTTCTTTAACTCCAACATCTTTTTTCTTATCCTTATTCTTCTTAACTATTTCGTGTTCTCATCTGTTTCTTATTCTCCATGGTTTTATTCAAATTTGTCTTTTTCGAGTTCTTATCATCAACTACGTCTTCTTCTTTATAAAAGTTTTAATAATTATAGGTGAATAAAAGTAATAGCAATCTATACGTTTTATTAGGTCTGTACGTCTTTTGTAACAATAAATAACAATTATGAATTAGTAAAAATAAGATCAATATATAAAATATTAATTAGAAAATACTACTTAGAAATTTGTTTAATTGTTTATTTTTATAGATGATATTAAAATTTAAAAAGTACAATAAGGAAAATAATTAAAATCCAAACACAACGAAAATTTTAAGAAATTGTTAAAATAAAATAATTAAGGAAAAAGAAATCAAAGACAAAGCAAAAAATTGATGAAACTTATACTAAAAAACATTTAATGGATATTGGCCCAGCTGGTACGACCAAAGTTGTGTCTGGTTCCTGCTCCGATTTGTGCTCCACGATCCGTCCCTCAACCCGCAATACGTCTAGTGTTTCATGATCGCATCACAAACATTTCCAACGAATCATCAAAATCAGAATTCAAAGCTCGTCAAACGTCTCGCACAGGTGAAATTCTTTGACTTTAAAGTTATTCTCTTCTTTATACTCAAGATGGCAAAAAAAAGTTAGCAAATAAAAAATCACTGATCAATTAGAGACGCATGACAATATACAAGGCATTAACAACTTATATGCGAGCAAGATGCAAAGCAGCAAGAAATAAAATTAGGTCATAAATCACAAATAAGAGATAAGAGGCGACAGAGAAACCAAATTGAAAGGCAAAGATCTATAGAATCAAATAAACAAAAAACAATTCACAAATCGATCGATGGGACAAAAACAACACAACATATTCATAGAGACATCTGCATGGCCATAAAAAGCAAATCAATCGACCTTGCAGCAAAAAAACAAAAAAATAATCAACGAAGAACAACACCTACATAATAATAATCCGATCAGTTTCAACATAGAAACAAATCATTAGATCAAGGCAAACGACAAAAACATTAAAAACAATAACATAGAGACTAAACCAGAACTAAGAAAAATGAAAATCGTACAAACTCATAAACATGACATAAATCATTTTCAAAATCCATCCATTAGCTAGAGTTTTGACTTTTATTTTCTTCTAAAACACTAAATTAACTAATACGACAATATTTTTTTAAAAAAATTCTAAAACGGCTACCAATCTAACTAAACAACTTGACCTATAGCCTAAAACAAATCTATAAATTTAAAAGATTCAATACTAAATTAACCCGAGTAGCAGAGAAATTGGTATGTTAGTATGACAATTAACGCAATTTTAATCACAACTTAATTTGAACTGATTAAAAAAATATTAATATCTTTTTGGTGAAAGAAAACAGAATAATTAAACATCCTGGAATTCAATAAGGCATTGGAGTTAAAAATTCGCTAAAAATTCACTTTGCTTTTATTATATATGATTTTACTCATTTCTTTGGAAACAAAAAACAAAGAGAAGACATTTTCTCCCAGAGTTCCAAGTTTTTTGGGATAACACATTGTGCTACAGTGAAACTTTTGTTAATATTTACATATCTATACTATTAAAAAAAGATACACATTTAGACGTTATAAAAATATTATAATCATTGCATCCAAATACTCCTTCTTTTATTAAAGTATATTTTATTTTATATTTTAATTTAATTCCAAAAATCTAGATATTAATTTAGATGATTTTAGATATCCTTCAATATCTATACTATTATTTTAGATTAATTTGAATTTTTTAAAATATAGGTTAACTTAATGAAATATTAATAAAAAAAACTATTTTATTTTATATTTATAATTAATTCCAAAAATTTAAATATTAATTTAGATTATTTAAAATTTCCTCAAATATAGGTAATATTTTATTTCTCAAATTAGTTTTTAATGTATCTTTAAAAAAATCAATTTAAATTTAATTTAGATATTTGATTTAATTTAGAATCTATACTATTATTTGTAAGGTCAAAAATCTGATGTGTGGTCTCCACAGCGATGGTCCTATGTGTCATTATTAAAAACAATTATGCGGCGTTTTAATTAGTTCTGATATGCCGATCATTAATCCTACGTGTAAATAACCGTGACTTGATTTTTTTTTCCCTCGATTATGGGCCAACGATTTTGTTTATGGGCCATTGATCTCGAAGTTGGTCCTAACCACTGATTTTGGTCATTAATCCTACGTGTAAATACCTGTGACATGGCTTTTTTCACTTGATTATGGGCCATCGATTTTGTTTATTGGCCACCGATCTCGAAGTTGGCCCTAGCCACTGATTTTTGGTTATAGGCCACCGATATCAAAGTTGGTACTAACCTAAACCCTAGCGTATCCATCATGCTATATATACTCCTCTCCGTCTTCATGTTTTCTTACATACAATGTCCGCAAAAAGAGTATCAAGCCCGAAAGCTTGCGCGAGACGTACAGAAGGTCCTTATCGGTCTTAAAAGCCAAACGATGGATCCAGAAACCAAATCAACACCCAATGCTGTGACCGTACTTATGTACTCAAGTCGTGACTAGCCTAATTGGGGTGTTGGCTTGATACTCTTTTTCTTTACATCCGGGTTTGTCCCAATGAGTTTATGGGATAGAGTTTTGGATCACTTTCAATATCTTATGCAGGTGTTTTCACTCAGTTTTAAAGGTTTTATAAGTGTTTTCCATGTTTTGGAGTTTTAAAAATCTTTTCAGGAAACTTGGAGCTTTGGAGTGCATTTTGGACCAAAAGCACATTTTTGGATAGATTCAGGCCAGTAGAAGTTTGGCAACTAAAAAAGACCTTCTTACCTTTTGATCATCCCTAAATTTGGAGACATTATAGACAAGATAACCAGATTTGAAACACAGTTGGAATCAAAGCAATCCAACGGTTAGATTTCCAGATATCATCAATGCGCTGAAGGCCAATCAACACAGTCTAGTCAAGGACAGGAGCTTTTACCCGCGGCCAAGCTTGCTCCCACCGCGGCTCAGTTCCTTTCACCCCCGGTGGACCTCAGTCCAAACCTCAAGAGACTAACTAAGGCCCAAGACACTTCCTGCAATCATTTTACAAGCCCTAGACGCCCAGACTTGGAGAAACACTATAAATACTCATTTTTAGGTCTTTTGTAAGGGAGCTTATTTCTTCTCTTTGAGAGAGAACTCATTTGTAGTTTTAGGTTTTATTTTTATGCATCTGTAGAAGCTCTTCATCGTCACTCTGTCTTCAATAAGAGAAGTTTTTCTGCAACTTTTATTTCTTTACTTTTCTTCTTTTAAGTTCTAAACTGATGATGATGTTTATCTCAGTCATGTCTAAGTAGTCACCTAGTTGGGTGAAAGGTAAATCCTAAGGGATCCCATGTTCGAATGACATCTAGGTCTTTAGGATAAATGATGTCGATTTTTACATGATTCTCTTATTCATCCAAATCTCAAAGCGGTAACTCTGGATTGATCACCCAGAGTCCGATCTTAGGTTAAATCTGAGCCATGAGAGTGTTGTATCTGGGTTGCCTGAACTGGATCTTATGGACGTCACCGTCATAGGAGACGAAAGCTACCTACGGAGGATACGTA